CATACTATATGCCAGACAACAAGCAAAGCATAGACAATTTGCTGTAGGAACTCGCATAAGCCAGTTTATGAGCCATTGCAATAACTATTAACTCTAAGACTAACTGCAATTCTATCCATCAGTGCTAACAATATTTGCTTAATAGTCTTTGTAGCACAAAACGCATAGATCAAATTGATTTAGTAGGGATAGCCTAAACAGATCAGGATTGCAAATTAAGATTATAAAAGCCAACGGAAATAATATTAAACTCTTTAAAAAACGCATAAAAGTTTGCGTAGGGTATCTCTTCGCAATAAGTTTCGCTATGAGCGCGATAGAGACAAACCTAAATAGACCTGGAGTGATAATTAAAATTGTAAAAGCCAATAGAAATTCTTCATTTCCTACATCATAAAATCTCGACTCTGTTCGTATATAGAGCATCTCTTTGCATAATAAAAAAAAAACACCATGATATAGTATAAAAGTCTATGTAGGGTATCTCTGCACAAGATCTTGTTATGAATTTACGCCGATAAACCTAAATGAAGCAAGATTGTTAATTAATATTTTAAAAGCAATTGAAAGTAATTTTGTACACAATGAAGTATAAAGTCTATACAGGATGCTATCTTTTTAGTCGTAATACCTCGCTATTAATCTTACGATATTATCTGCTGTATTCAGAAAGACCCTAAAAGCACGCGTAAAATTACTGCATTAACATGGTATATCAGAATGTAGAACATGCTCTGTAATTGGTTTAAACATTATTACTCATAAAAATAGTAAAGAATCTTAATTTAGCTGAAGTCTTTGTCATTCATTTAATAGAGCATATGGAATAATACTGGAACAAGCACCGCTAACGAAAAATGTTGTTTTGTAATAAAAGACATTAAAACTATATTTCGGTTAGTAAATGGCATACTCTATATCTGTCACCAGTTAAATCGGCATTAACGAAAAGGCAAAGTATCAGCGCTTCTTCTTATCGATATAGCAAAGCTACTTGTAGATTAATAATAATTACAATTACTATTCGAATGCTAGATCCCATACTGATATTGCAGATAATAACTTCAATTTTTTTGCTACAGAGAGCTATTTATCAACTTGTAGGACTCTATGCTAGCCATCATGAGCTACTGTTGCGACTCCAACACGATATATCTACATTTTATTGAATGAAAGCAATCCCATTTTAAATAAAAGATTTTTCGTACTCGGGTGATAAATAATTTCATTAATATTCTTTATACTAAAAACAACAACAATACTTCAAACATTACTGCTGAGAATACGGAAATACATATATTGATTTAAACCGCAATTGAGCCGTTACTAATATTCATACCTTACGAACTCGCACAGTAGTATATGTATACGAGTATATATATTAATAGTATAGTTTTGTGCATATCGAGAATAAATTTAATGTAGTAACACCAACTTTTGAGCTTACATTTTTCAACCCTATTAAATAAATAACAAATTTCATTATTTAAAATTACTCAAAGTTGAAATTACATAAACTAACCTTAAGTTGAGATCAGTAAGAGAGAATAAGTGATAGTTTCGCTTAACTTGGAGTCACTTAGAAGGATCCTACATCATTAACTAATATTTACTAATATTTTCCGGCCTCGAATTATAGTACTTAAGTAACTCAACTCTAATGAAATTTAAACCAATAGATTTATTAATGCATTGATGTAACAGTTTAAGCACTTTCTACGTAGTATCTTAATGTAAGTCTAGTACCAAGGAAGGCAATATTCGACAACATCAATTGCTTTCTAATATTGTAATTCACTACATCCCTACCTTGCGGGTAGTATTACATTTTGTATCTAATATACATAAATTCATAAACATCTTACCCTTTGTTAGCATAACGATATAGTTTAGCAGTCTTAATCGAAAATAGTACCGTAGATATAGAAATATATAATAAGGAAAATGATTACTATAATATATGAATAAGTAAATTGAATAGATAGATGATCGTTTTCTCGTAAAAAGAGTAATACATTTTTTAACTAAAATAATTATCGTCGTGTATCATTAATGGTCCATAGGTTAAGCCTGGAACTATAGCATACTCACACAAAAAATTTGCTAAATGTATCAGTTCGCCATTTCTGCTTACTTACTACCAAGACAGCTACTTCTTCTACAGGTACAGAAACTAATACAATTTTATCTAAGTCTCAGTCACGAATAATATGTAAAATAAAAATAAAATTTTAAAATATCTACTTATCACCTATCTTATGTATCTTATTATCTTACGATATTTACTCCGAGAGTAGCTTTCAAAAATTGATCATTTTGTTCATCAACCTATGTTTATATGCTTTCACTAAGAACGCAACGTACTATCATGATCCGCAAACTCTACTAGCCAAATTTAGGGCTATGATGTAGGCTATGTTGTCTCATATAGTGAAATCTTACACATCCATATCAAGAGTTACAGACGATTACATATTAATATTAAATCTTACATACTCATCTATCTTACGTTATAATTGTCATTACTTACTCTGTACAATACTGTACATATCTGCCTATATAAATTTACTTATACTTCTCGTGACAAAGATATACCGGAGATATTTCTGCATTTTCACCTATTTCGAACTACAGTACTGATCAAGATTAATTATCCGTGACAGCTATGAACCTTTTCCTTAAGTTTCACGGCAGAAATAATATAGACCTTCCCTTTATGCTCTATTTTAAAATACGCCAGGGTATACATAGAACATATACAGTCATGATCAGAACATGACCTGACCTTTGAGTCTTCCCATAAATTAGGTAAGCTTGATTACTATATTTTATTTCGATGCCGTATTTAACGCTATTGCTCACTAAATAAGCCCACAACTACTTTTAAAAAACTAAGAACTTTAAAGTAAGTAAGAGAGACCGCATAAATTGTATTATAGCTAATAATCACTAAAGTACCGTGTTACAATCCAATTGCATGTACTGTAATTGTATAATTATTAATATTATAGCACAACTCAGATGACTATAAATAACTTTGTTATGTCAATGAATATACGCATATCTATTAGTATATTTACAGCATCATAGACCAAAATTGACAAGCTATAAATTTATTAGCGTTTCTATTTCGCATTATGTTATCAAATAAGTTAGTCTAATTTACAATTCGCTTTAATTAAATAGATCGTAAATAAAATGTTGTTATGTTGATCCTGTACTTGATATTATTTTTTAAAGTAGATTAGCGAACGGTATACACCTCCCATAAATTAAATGGAAAGTTTTACTTTAAGTACCTTTATTTCTTATGCTATATCACTGAATAAATTTAATATAGCATGATAATATAATTCGGTAAGACCGATAATTTATAGAATCTTACAAAGTATAGTATTATTTCTTTTAAAATGTGGTATCCTGGCGTATAGTTTACTGACGTTTTGAATATCGCTATATCAAATTAAGCTGTGCCAACAAATCATAAAGCTATTAACAGAAGGCTACATGCACATCACGAA